TTCCTATCAATTTTATCACATCTTTTTATCATTTGTTCACCACTTTTTTCTTCTTTTCTTTTCCCTCAAACATTTTCTCTCTTTCTTTTGTCATATTAGCATTACAATGTAAACTAATCATGTATATATATGTATGCATATTTTTATAGATTAGATGAATAATCAATCTCTTCTCTTTCTTTTTCTTCTTCAATCGATTTTTTTATTGTCTCTAGTTTTAAAAAGCGATTAATTATTTATGATATCACTAAATTATTATCATCAGTGTATCTTCTTCATTCATTTGATATAGTTGAATTTATATGAATGTGTTGCATAAAAATCCACCATTATTGTGGTGGAGAATTACAATTAGCTTTCTTGAACGTGAAATTCCGTGTGCTTATAATTAACACACGCCATCCTGACTGTTTTGAGATTAAGCCGTTACATTTAGTTGCTAATAAAGTGAAGCATTACTGATAACTTGTTAAAGAAATAATTGCAAATATTTAATTTTAATCTAATTTGAATTCATTTTTGTATTTCCTTTGCATATAACATAATATGATACGATATGAATGATGCATCTCATTTCGCTACTCTAATTATATAACTTATTTTAATCACTCCTCTTTTCTCTCTCTTTTTCATTTATAGCAGTATGCTTACAAAAATAAAATAATTCATACATTTTAGAATAAATTGTAAATAAAATTTTTTTTGAAATTTTTTTCAAAATTTTAAGGAGTATAATTAATTAATTTAAACATAAAACGACAGTTACATACATTCTATTTTCCTTTCTTTCTTCCGTTCTCTCTCTTGCATATTCACTTCTCTCCAATCTTTTTTTCTAAATTTTTGATCATTGCTCAAAATTAAATGAGCAGTGAAAGAAAGGAGAATACGAAAAGAAAAAAAGAGAAATTTCATTGATTCAAGAAGAAAAAAAGATTATCCTCAACCCTACCATCGTCTAAAATTCATTTATTGAATTGTACATTTGCCTGATTTTTGTCTCATTTTCCTCTTCCATCCTCCATCTCTCTCCATCTCTCTCTCTCTCTCTCTCTCTTACAACCATTACCGTCATCACCGTTGTCATCATCACCTTCCTTCCTCTTCACCTTCACATTTCAATTCCACTCTACAGATTAATCCATTTTAGATGGATTGATTGATTGACTAATTGATTGGTGGTTGATGATTGATTGATTGATTCATTAATTGATTGGTTGATTAATTAATTAATAACAATCATTTATTTCATCTCTCTTGTTCTCCCAATAATTGTCGATAATTTTTTCTAGTAATTCTAAAATTAAAATTATTCATCCTTTTTCTTTATTATACCATCAAAAAGAAAAGACTTTTTTGTTGCTAAAATATTTTTGGGAAATAAAATTTAAAAAAGAAGGAAAAAAGAGAAAAAAATTGACAAAAGGAAGGAAAGTGAGCAAAAAGAACAATCTTTTCCGTTTAAAGGATAGAAGTATGGAAGAAACTTCTACCCGAAGAGGGCAGAATGCGGGGGAGGGTGAAAGGCGGGGAGGGTCGAAAACGGGGGAGGGTAGAAGAAACCTATTGCTTCATAACTTATTTCTTTTGTTTTTCATTTCCACATTATAGCTTCAATTTGGGATCAAATTTCATTTGTTACCACATACATCACAATAATCTATATATATATATATTGCACACACACATACACGGAGAAAAGTCTGTCACATACATACATACACCTACATTGACATGCACGCTGTCGTTTTCCTCTTTTTTCTAAAAAAAACTTCAAATGGGGAGAAAAGTACAGCTGATAATTCCTAGAAATAATTCTTTAAAAAAAAAACACTGTTCCATTTGTTAAAACATAGACACACATACACGTATATATATATTAGTATGTGTACATACACAAACATGCATACACGTCATGCATATATACACACATACACATACATACATACACTATATATAAGCGGTTAGAGCATTGTTAGAATTCATAATTCAGTAAGCAGAAGAGAAAAGTTATCCGTTGATTCCAGCTATCTACCTGATTGCTCACCTATGAACCTTTACCTACCTGTCTACTGATCTACCTACCTGCTAGTGTATCTATCTATATACTTTGAACTTTATCTCCTTGCATACTCGTTTCATCATCATATTTCTCGGTATTGTCACTGGTAATCGAAAAAAAAAAGAGAAAAAATGTGTTGGAGAGTTTGTTTATTCACACTATTGCAAAAGAATGCATTGAAGATATGAAGCAAGAAAGGGGAGGGAGAGGGAGAGAGAGAGGGAGAGAGAAGAGAATTTTGAAGTCTCTAATAATAAATAAGCTATCTGTGAAGATGAAGTCATGTGATAATTATTGGATATTAGCATTAGTAATGATAAGGTTATGATGATGTTATGATAATGGAACATTCGTGAATTCTTTACAAGTACTATTCATTTAGCATCATTACAGAATTTTCAATAACATTTTTGAATGGTTCGTTTTGCTACCATTAAGCAACTCGGTTTCTTAAAACTAGGATTAGCTTGGGTAAATAAAACATAAGGAAACAAACAAGCAAACAGAAAAATGAATAAGTTTATTTGTCATTAATTAATTGGCGGTAATAAATAATAAATGTTAGTAATAATGGTGACAGGAGTAGTGATAGTAATAAAATAATAATAATAGTAGTAATAATAATAAATGATAACAATGATAATAATAATAATAAATAATAATAATAATAATAATAATAATGATAATAGTAATGATAATAATAATGATAATAACAGTGATAACAATAATAATAATAATACCAATGATAGTAATAATGATAATAACAATGATAGTAACAATGATAATAATAATGATAATAATAGTAATAATAAATAATAATAATAAATAACAGTAATGTCAATAATTTTCAAATTCGTATAAGTTCATTAAAAATGTTTGATTTTTGAAAAAAGATAAAAAAACATAATTCATATTTTTTTTTGCAGTTTTATTAATATTAATAATCGCAGGATAATGTATGTATTAATGATTACCCATAATGCACTGATCTCTTACTATTTAATCTTATCCATTTAATCTGACTCATTATTTTTTGTTTTTAAATAAAAACATGGCAATAAAAGTATGATCTATTCCTATTCGTCTTAATGCAATTTTTATTTTAGAATAAAGATAATTAGTCATTCAAAAAGAAAAAGAAAAAAAATCAATCATTCTTTGCTATCTTGAAATTTAAATTCGCAAAAAAAAAAATGATTTCGAAATTGCACAAAAAAAAAAAAAAAATAAATAATTTAATATCGTTACAACAGTGAAATACCAATTCATAGATATTATTCGTATTTTTTTCGCTTCATTTTGTTTTTGTCAACTGAAGGTGACAATCGATTTTATCCATGAATCTATTTAATCATTTCGATTATCAACAAAAAAATTCAAATTTTAACAATTTGGTTTCATAATTTATTTTTCTCTTTTTATTGTTCTTGAATGAAAACTTAACTGTTACAAATTTTGATGAGCTATTCCGTTTCAAACGAAATGCGCCCTTTTTGATATTACATTGTATTAAAATAGAATTTGTTCGAAACCTGTTATTGATTCGATTAATATCTTGGAAAAAAAAAGATCCTTTATTAAAAAACTTTCTTGAATTTTTTTCAAAAAAGAAGTGGAAATTTTTGAAAAATTGAAACTGCCCTATTACACATTACCCTTATATTATGCTTTTCATTGCATTTCGTTTTTCTTTTTTCTTTTCACTTTTTTCCTTTATTTCTGATTTTTCAGCAAAATGATTGTTAGATATTTAAATAGCATCCATTTTTTCTTCTCTCTTACAAAATAATAGCTCTCTTTCAAGTATAGCATTTCGTCATCGTTTCGAGGTCGTTCAAATATTATTTTATTTGTTGTTGTTATCATAATTTTATAGTCACGAATTCTTTCCATCCATACATATTTAATAAAGAAAAAAGGAATTTCTTTTTTTATCCAGTATTTTTTTTTTAATTTCACTTTCATTATTAATAGTATTAATAATGATCATAGTGATATTCAATAGCAATAATGACAGTAATTATGATAATCACAATAATATAACAAAAAAGACAATAGTAATAATAATGATAGTAATGGCGATGATGACAATAGCGATGGCAATAACAATAATGCTAGTGACGATAATAATAATAATAATAATAGTAATAATAATAATAATAATAATAATAATAAAATAATAATAATAATAATAATAATAATAATAATAATAATAATAATAATAATAATAATAATAATAATAATAATAATAATAATAATAATAATAATAATAATAATAATAATAATAATAATGATAACAATAATAATAATAAAATAATAATAACAGCAATAATAATAATAATAACAATAATAATAATAATAACAGCAATAATAATAATAAGCAATAATAAATATTCCACATTCAAAAATTTCCTCTCTCCTCCATCCTAATATTTCCCTCAAATGGGAATAATGGATGTGTTTTTACAACTGTGAAATTTACATATTTCAAATTTTTATATGGGTCATCTATAAAAAAATAAGTGTACATGTGATAATATTTACTCACATTTGCTGAAATCAGTAAAGGCATAGTGAAGGAAGTATTTTTGTATTTCTCTTCCATTTTCTTCCTTTTTTCATTCATCGGACCTATTTTCTCTTCGTCAATCGGTCATTCGTCAGCAATCGTTGCTCCTTTCAACAAAATTTATTTTATACAATTTTTTTTTTTTTTTTCATCCTTTAACATTTTAAAAGATTTCGATTTGATCAGATTATTCTCTTCCGGAATTTAGCTGCTTATTTATATTTTATTATGCATTTGATTGGTTGATAGAATATTATTTCTCAGAGATATTGAAGTTATGCCATTGTGGTGAGCTAATTTTCTCATTTCAATTATCTTTTCAAATTTGGATGTCACTTTTATTACTTTTTTTAAAAAAAAAACTAAAATCTATGACAGAGTAGTTTCATTATGGTCGTCTTCATTTGATAGCCATCTGGCATAGCAAAAATAACTTATGATACTATCATCACTAGAAGCACTGCTTATCATTGTCGTATGTTCGCCTTGTAATCCCACTTGAGGCGTTATTGTCATGCGCAAAGTGTAGGCTATATGATTGGCAGGTACTATGGATGACTGTTCGTGTTCACTGAAAAACACCTCAAACTTTAGATGCTTCTAAAAAAAAAAAAAAAAAAAGAAAAAAAAAAGTTAAAATGCTCGCAATAATGCTTTGATTTTTTTCAATAATAAAAATTTGATACATTAAGTATTAGATTTAATAGTTATTAGTATTAAATTTAACTACTACAATCCGATGATGAAAATATATTTGGCGGAGTAATTATAAAATTCCATGCTTTATTCATAAAAGAAATTCTGGGCGAATCATTGTTTAAACGAATTATGAAAAATTTGCAATTAAAAAGTCGAGAAAATATCTAATTCAACATTATCTTGTTATATCAATTCTTAAGTTATCATTTCATTTATTATCATTACTTTGTTGAAATATTTTACGCATATTTCATTTCCGTTTTTACTAATTGTCGTTCCGGTTAATCCGATTGATACATCTCTCACATAATTCTTCTTGTCTCCTTATAACTTTATCATATTCTCTGAAATGTATTCATCTATGTTTAAAATATTTTAATTTAATTTTTTTTAACTCCTGTTATTTCAATTTAACCCATTGCATTTTTTTTTTTAAATTTAACTTCTGCGCATATATATACATCCATACACATACACACACACAACAGATACATACATACGTATTACATACACAATAGCTGTTCATAGTGCTTTAACCAGATTTTACTGCTTTTTTTGCACAAGTAGTTGTTGTGGTAGGTTCAGATCGAGTTTAGTAAACTTGTTCACTTTCATAATAATAAGTTTTATTATTTTTTATTTTTAGTTAATTTTACTTAGTCTTTCTATGTTGAGTAATGTTTTTTTAGCTTGAAATACTTTGGTGATTTAGATTTGACGGCGGGAGGGTTATTATTGCTATTTATTATTGTTAAAATTTTTAATTTTTTATAAAAATTGAAGTTTTTTTTTCGCTCTTTAATATTTTCTATATGTTTCAGCGTATTGTTAATCCCTTGCCTTCCTCATTTTTATCTTTCATTTTTTTTTTCATTTCCAATTTTCAATTATTTATTACGTAATCTATTCCTTCATCTGTCCTTTTCTCCTCCTATTTCTTCCTCTTCCAACTCTTTCTTTGTTCATATCAGTCTTATCAAACAGAAATATGATATCATGTAATTTGATTTAATCGATTGAATAGAGCATAAATTGAATGCATTTTTTTTTTTGTGTTTATCAGAAACTAATACTTGATTAATATTTATTTATATCGTTTAAAAAATAAAGGAAAAAAAATGCGAGAAAAGAGACTAACAGTGAAGAGAAAAGGGAAAATCATTATATGACTGACTGAAGGAACTTTTAAATTTATTTTTCAATATTTTCATTTTTGTTAGTTCATAAAATTTATTTGTTTCTTTTTTTCTCTATTTTTTTTCTTTTTTGATTGTTATTTATTATAGAGCAACTTTTAACAAGGAAGAGAGAGAGAGAGAGAGAAAGAGAGAGAGGGGTGAGGGAGGGGATGAAAAAAAGGAGAAGGATTTTGAGCTATTTGCTTAAAGGCAAGAATTGAGGAAAGCTAAGTAAGTATCACTACCATTTTTTCTTGTTGTTAACATTTATTCTTCATCAAAATGTTTTTCTTTTTTTTTCATCCCAATTTAAATTCTAATTCGTAATAAAATAAAGAAAGAAGGTGCTACTATCGTGTCAAGAATAATTTGACTTGTGCTAATTTAATTCACTTCAGTTCAATTTAGATATTTCTTTGGAACTTTTATGTTATTAAATTCTAAACTTATTGCATTCAGTTCATTCATTTTCCATTTTAATTAATTAATGCAAGAAGTGATGATTTAATGAAAGTAATTAAATTCTGAAATGATTGCATTCAATTCATTCATTTCTTTCTTAATAAATGATTATATAAGAATTATTAAGAAAATATCTCAAAATCAGTACATAATTGATTTGATTATTTTGATAATTACCAAAGAAAAATAAAACTTATTGGTGTTATTAGCTAATGAAGGTTCTATTAAAGAACAAAAAAAGGAGAAAGAATTGAGACCACTCACAAAAACAAAAGAATGATTTAGAAGAATTATCAGAAATTATTCATATTTGCTAACTAAATGATTTCAAGAAATAATCCTTAGAGATGTTTTTATCAAATAATTTATTTTTTAATTTTGTTTATTTCTTTATTTTTGTGTATTAATTTATTGATATTTTTTTGTTTTAATTGATGAAGAATGAAATAATACATCAATTCATCCTATCACTTCATTCCCTCCCCTTCTTCCACTTTTTTTCGTTACTTTATTTCATTTTATTATTTATTAGTTAAACGATGGAAAATAGAGAGAGAGAGAGGACAAGTAAAGAAGATGAGGAGGGATAAAAGAAGAGAGAAAAAGAGAGAGAGAGAGAGAGAAAAGGCTTAAATTTTGCTCTATAACGAAGGATCGATACAGGAAGGTAGGCTTTTTTTTGCACTTATTAACAAACAAAACATTCAGGATGGATAGGGAAGATAGGACAGGGGAACATTTGGCATAAGAGGAAGTTAGGCTTATTTCTCTTTCGTTCTTTTTTTTTTTTTTTTTTTTTTGGACCAAAAAAAAGAGCAATGAACAGGAGGAAGAATAGATGATGACGATGATGGAGATTGAGAGATAAAGCTTAAAGGATTTTACACATACGAAAATATATCGAATTCCAATGAAACAGAAAAGGATTGTAATTGCTGGGCTTCCTAACAGAAATCAAAAAAGGTGGAATGAGTGGACGAATGGACGAATGAATAGGTTAAATATTAATATATCGAATTTTAATGAAACAGAGAGTGTTGACGGTAGTGATATTGATGATGTCATGACGATAATGCGATGATAATGATAATGATGGTATGATAATACTAGTAATGATTAGAATAATAGTAATAATAATGATGATGGTAATGAATGGATGAATGAATAAATAAATAAATGAATCTAAAACATTAGTCGAATATTACTGGCGGTGATGTGATAATAATAGGCATGACGACAGTGACAATATTGGCAGTGTTAGTGATAATGGTGAGTGTGGTGATTTCAGTGATAAGATTGGATCCTTTCTTATTTGTCTCTTTCACCCTTATCATTAATGTTTATCCGTTTTAATACCGTTTTTATTCTGATATCTAAAAAATTGAACCTCCTATTATTAGAATATTGCAGTAATTTCAGAAATATATATATATATATATATATATATATATATATATATATGCAGAACACACACACACATACACATACACCGACATACATACATTTTACCAATGTAAGCCTAGTTTCAAAGCATAGTCATTTTCGTGGTTGCGATAGTATGAAGGATAAAAAGAAATGATGATAGAATATTTCCCGAGAGATAGATATTTCCCGTTCTATTTCTTGCATGTTTGAAAAGGCTTGTTAAAGTTACTCTAAATGGTTTTCCGCAACAATTCCAATAAGGAAAATGATATCAGAGAATTACTTGGCTATATTTTATGCTAGGCCTGTAAATCTCATCTATTCGCATCCCAATATAAATGACATTGCATTCAATTCCCTTACGTATTTTTATAATCGAATGAATAACTGATAAAGTTGATTAATGGTAATATTTGCTTCTTTGTTTTTTTTTTCCTTCCTTAGTTAAAATTTTAAATTATTATCGAAATTTTCACTTCTGTTATGAATTTATTTATTTTAAATTTTTTAAATTGTTACTTAATATCATATTTACTACCAACTTCTATGAGCGTATAAATTCATCATGTTTTTTCTTTTACATTCAGTTTTGTCTAACTTAATTGTCAACTATTTAGCTAGCATTTATTTCACCACTTAATACCTGAACGATTATTTAATAATTTCCAAAATTTATGTGAAAAACATTAATAAAAATTCATCAACTTATTTGAAATTCATACATAGAGTCTATTGCTGTTAGTAAAATTGTATTTAATTATAGATTAAGAGATAAAGAACTAAACAGATGAGAATTAATTTTCATGGGTACTACTGAAGTTATCCACCACAGCAGTTGGTAATAAGTTAATCTGCTGAGGCCTCATAAATGCTTAACACTCAACGCCTTATAATAAGTTTATCATCATGAATTCAAATCTAATTGGACAAGTAATTAACATTACTGAGCTTTTTTTATCCATTAGGTTAGAAATAATTCAGTTTTATTAGATTAATAAAAAAAATTAGATCAGAATCAAAATTTGACTCATTACGTCATGTTTTTTTCTTAAGCAGCAGAAAAATTATAATGTTATATAGATTTTATTGCACAAGAATAGATGATTAATTCAAATTAATTAATTTCGGATTAAAGATTATAGGTTAAATTTTAGTTTGATATATGTTATCATAAATCACATCGATGTGTGTTTCATCATTTATTTGCATCACAATAATCAGTTGCCTATAATATTTTCAATATTTAATGTCACCTTTGCATTCATTCTTTCTTTTTTCTTTTTTTTGCTTTGCCTGGTTCATGACAGTTGACATCTTTTTTCTTTTGTACAACAATTTTGTTCTCTCCCTCTCTTTCTTCCTCTCTCTCTCTCCTTTTTTTTTGATAAAAGATGAAGATTTTTATCACTTAAAAATACAGTCACTGTTTCTTTCCTTCCTTATTTATTGATTGAATTTTTTCCCTTAATAATTTCATTTTGTTTTATCAGCTCTTTTTTTTCTTAAGTTCTTTTTTCTTCGTTTGTTGAAAGATGATAATTATATTTAATGGTTGTTTTATGGAATATTACTGTATGTTATTAAATTTTTAAATTTTTTTTAAAAAAAAGCTTAAATTAAATTTAAGCATAGTTTTAATATTAAATAGTCACAGACGAAATCGATGTTTTTCTTAACAGATTATTGTGCATTTATAATGATAGTAATACTAATTCAATGTTTTTTCTTTTTTTTTTGCGACGTTACTAGTCGTTTGTAATAAATAATGAATGATAATCAAATGATAATTCATTATGAAATTTTTTTTATCATATATGGATGGAAATGTTAATATTTGTTTGGGCTAAAATATAATGATTACTTGATTGTATAAATTAGATAGTATTCAAAACGAATGTATGAATATCTGATTGAAAAAATGATATCTGATCAGATCCGATAAGAAAGTGATATGCCGATGACCAAAATAACAATGCATAGTCTATCCCAGTAAACAAAATATATGGCTCAAAAGATATTTTGATTACGTAGCCAAGAGTGTTAGGACCTTTCTATAGCTATAGATAATTTTTGGAACAAAAGGATGAATAAATCCAATAATAAATTAATCTGAATTGTGATTAAAATACAGTATACAGTGAGAAAGATTATCAATAGTAATAGCTCTAAGGTTTAATCATTATATTAAACTGAGCCATTGCTGAATTTGTTCAAAATTCTTTGAATAAATAAATATTAGAATAAAATTAAATATGAAGTTAGATTTTTTTATTGTGAACTTCAAAAACAAGGCGAAATTTTTTTTTCTTTTTTTTGAACTTACGAATTTCTTTTGAATTTCTTTCGTAATTTCGTTCATTTTTGTTCTTTAGAATGAACTTTAATGTTTGATTTCCAAGCGAATATTGTTGGATTTTTTTAAATCCTAAAATTTTCTTGTGATTGGTGAGTGTATATATGTTTGCATGTGTGTGTGTCTGTGTGTGTGTCTGTGTGTGTGTGTGTGTGTGTATGTATGTATGTATGTATGTATGTATGTATGTTTAAAAAAAGTAAATAAGTGAAAAATTAAAAACCTTTACGCTGGTGTAAGCATGAAATTTAAGAAGTTTTTAATGAATACTTGCAATGTTATGATCTTCGATCATTAAGATTTATTTTCAATCAACAAATTAATGAAATGGTAAAATTAAAAAGTTTGATGATAATAATAGAGAAATGTTGTGTGCAATATTATTTAACTATTTTCTTTTTCCTTTTTTTCATTTTATTCCATTTCATTTCCACACTTCAACTTCGTGTAGAAAGAGGAAGAAAAACGAAGCAGAAGAAAAAAAAGACAAATAACAATTTTAATGAATTAATTGAAGCGAAAATTTAACATGAAACATTTCCATAATTGAGAAAGAAGAAAAGATGTATGAAGAGGAGATAAACAAATTTAAAACAAACAAATTCTGATACTATAACAACCATAGTCATACATGAAATAAATAATAATAATTCATTTCTTTTTTTAATATAAATTTTTTATTTTCATTTTTTTGTGGATATAATACTGTATAAATTAAATCGTTTTTTTCATTTTCATTCTCATCAAACAATCACACTGCACTATTTTTTTTTTTACTTTTTTTTGCTTTCTTTTTATTCCCTTTTTCGTTTTTTCTAAGTGTAACATTAATAATTGCATATGCATCATATTTAATTAATTCGAAAAGTTATAAAAAGCAAATTCCTTTCTTTTCCTTTTTTTGTTAAAGCTTCATTAAGAATGATTGAAATTTCAATTTCAGTTAATCGACACTTTATTTCTATTCAATGAAACAAAATATTTGCAAAAAACTATAGAGGGATTTTTTTTCTTAAAGAAGCTAATAATTCATTGTATCTATTTATGCATGAGAATTTATAAATTTTCATTTTTCTTTTTTTCTATATCAGTAAAGTAAATCAGTTATCTGGTCATGATAATAATGATGACAACAAGCAATTTCAGTTATCCAGTTACAATGATAATGATGATGAATCATAAAAAACATAATGTATTAAGTTTCACTGTCAAAAATATTTAGCAATAATCGAAAACAATGTATACGGTAATTTTGTAATATCAAATATGCAAATGACATGAATGAATTGCATGAAAATCATGTGGTATTTTAAAAAAATCAAAAAAAAAAAAAATGAATCTTGAATTCATTTTATATAATAACCTGTGTGATGATATAAGTTCTTACTTTTCCTGTTCAGATATTCCGCTAACCTTCCTGACTGAGGAGAAATTAGAAATAACTTATTGCTTTGAAACTTTCCCTATCAATGTTTGGTATCTACCACTGCTTCAGTTTATAAAATTGGGAATGTAATATATATATGAAGAGGAGATAAACAAATTTAAAACAAAATAAATGAAAATAAACTCATATTTTTCTAAACTTATCTACTGCTTAGAAAATTACTACTATTATCGTTTCATTATTTATTATTATTATTGCTGTTGTTGTTTTTGATATGAAATGCTAGAAAACGAATGAAAATGGAATAATGAAATGTTCACTGTCAAATTTATGACGTATAGTCAAGTAACTCAGAAAAAGGAATAATTCCTTTGAAAATTTCATTTATTCGTTAATGATATTGTAGTGAAGGGAGACAGGGAAGAGGGAGACGAGGGACAAAGGAAGAGTGCGCGAAAAGGGAGAGAAAGAGAGAGGAAAAGATTGCTATAAAAGACATAGAATGAGTTTATTGTGATTGATGGAAAGATGTCGAACAATCATGATTCATTAGTGGCGAGTAATTAATGAAAGCTTCTAATTAGCTACAGCATAACATATATTTGATAAATAGTGACAATTTAGTTGACAATTCCATGATGCATAACATTACTTAAGTAGTAGTTAATAGTATCACAATTACTTGTACTGTATTAATATTAATATTAATAATTAAAAATATCACAGTTTATTGCTACAATTACTATTGTTACAATTAGTAAATGATTTCAATAGCTTTAAGTTTTATTACCTTGTTAATCATTGATCTTTCTTGGTATCACTTCTAAACTATCTTTTAAATTTTTGTTTCCAAGAATGCAATAATAGTAATAAAAGAACTATTACTATTAGACCATTCTTTTTTGCCAATTTGCTA